CGCGGGCGCACAGGCGCTTTAAAAAAGTATGCAAATTTTTTGGCGGGGAAGCGATCTCTGGAACAACACGAGCTAACGGGCTGAAACTTTATAGGGATATTCCCTGTGTATGTACTAGCTAAAGGTTTCAGATTCACCCCCCAGTATGCGTGGTACTCAAGTAAGGGCGTATGAAAGTCTTAGTGGGAAAATTGCTAACCCGGGTACCAGGAAAGCTAGAAAACTGAAATTTTGGGAGAATTTTCTCTATCCAAGTACAACGCAAATATTTCAAATTCAGTTCCAAGCTATGCATGGTACTCACGTAAGGGCATATGAAAGTTTCTGCGGGAAAATTACTAACTCAGCGATCAGAAGAGCTGAAAGGCCGAAATTTTAGGTGGATGTTCTCTGTCCACGTGCAATTTAAAAATTTCAAATTCAACTTTTCAAGCACGTTGAGTACCCAAGTACGGGTATGTGAAGGTTTTGGCGGGAAAATTGCTAACTCAATAACCAGAAAAGCTGGAATTTTGAGAGGATGTTCCCCGTTCAAGTACAACTTAAGTATTTCAAATTAAGCCTTGAATTATGCGTGGTTCTTATGTACGGGCACTTAAAAGTCTTGAAAAAATTTCTCACTGAACAATTAGGTTACTTTTAAAGAACGACTGTTAAATGGAAAATGTACATTTACCTTGCAAAATTTATGGTGATTTATGCTAGTGACCGCAAAAGGTAGGCATGAAGCAACAGCCATTCATACAGTTGATGACCTGAGTGATTCAAGTCCGGTGCAAAAACGCATGATCGCACGGGCACGCTTGATACGTTCCAGCTTGGGTTGCATTTTGTGCCAGGGGAAGTCCCACTTCTCAATATCAACGAGAATGCAAAAGTAAGATTCGGTACGTTGCTCTTTTTGTGGACAACCGGTGAGTGAGCACACCTATCAACCAGTAGCACCCGCTGGTGTTTCGCAATTCTGCAGTTCTAATTCTCGCTCCAGTTCCGACTGTGTGGCGCTTCTTGCGCGGTCCATGATGCAAAGCACAAGATAAAACCTGTGTTTATTAGAAAATGAACAAAATAATGAAGTAACAATAATGAAATGATAGGGAGAAAGCATAAGGCAAAGAAAGAATTAAAGAACGTACATTTTGGCAGGCTTCTTAAGTGATAATTGTATGTTATAGAAATGGCAGGACAATGTTGCGCAGTGTGGCTGTGTTCAGTAGTAGTAGTAGTACACAAGTATCATCTGTCAAAAAACCAGTAGCGTAGCCAGCAACTGCCCTTTCCCGTCAGTCGCCTTGCCCAAAAAACACTCTGACATTGTTGCTGCATTTAGTGAAGGACGAAAATGTAACTGTTTTGCTGGGACTTCTCCGAAATTCAGCTTACGCTTGCTGGCACTTGTAAAACAGCTGCAGTCACTGTGAACAGCTTGTAAATGCGAGAGAGCAAACAGAACTTCTTTGCCGCTTTTTTTTGTACGTCGAGACGGTTTTCAACATCCTTTCGGCCAAGTATCAAAATTAAAATTGATAAGGAGAGACCCATCCTCAGACACTGAGGAGTCCAGTGTGACCACTCCTCCGAGCTTCTCCAATTTGGCTTGTTAAAGTATTTTCTGACACGTCAAGTGCTTTTTTTCAAAAATTAATGTGCTGCTCAGAAGTTTTTAAAATCGCCATTTTTTAGCCTGTGCTAAATTGCTCAAAGTTGCGCAACCTTTGAAGAGAATCCTAGCTACACCACTGGTGTATGCCCTTCAGTTAAAATTGAAAAACTGATAAGCAGCGAGGTTCTGTAGTTGCTGTTCCAGTGTTAAAACTGAGATGCCTTGAAATTTCCGTAACCGCCCTCCCAAAGTTCACCGAAAATTCTTCCTGTTCCGCCGCAACCGGAGTGCTTCGCTTACTGATAAACCGTAATTTTGCCACATATTTTTTGTCGACATGCCGGACAATGATCGAAGCGATTTCCACATGTCTCGCAACAAATGAAATGTGAGCACGGCATATAGAGCATTTGCGGCTGCAATACGTAACAAGCAATTCCAGAATTAAATCCTAGCGCAGATCAACACGGCACGCCAGTGCAAAATCATCTGTGGCGGGCACCAGGAAGGCCCTTGCGATCGTGCATTTTTGCGGTATTTCGTACTGTAGTAAGATCGCCTGGAGTCCCAGCAAGTAGAATTTGTGACAAAATGATGCACGACACTCAGGAAATTAATTTGGCAACTACGTGGTACTTGGTTGGGAATCATCCCCTCAAAATTTCCGCTGATTCTCGAGTTAGTAGTTTTCCTGTCAAAAATTTTCGCGGGGCCATACGTGAGAACCACGCACTTCTAGGGCCTAACTTGAAGATTTCAAGTTGTACGTGGGCTGGGAACATCCCCTCAAAATTACAGCCCCCCCCCAACCTTTCTGGCTTCCAAGCTAGCGATTTTCCCGCCAAAAAGTTTCAAGAGGCCATACGTGAGAATCACGCAGACCTGAGGGCAGAATCTGAAATCTAAGTTCTATGTGGACGGGAAACACAGCACCAAAATTTCAGCTTTCTAGCTTTTCTGGTCCCGAAGTTAACGACTTTCCCGCGAAACTTTCACACACGCATTTGCAAGGCCCAGACGTACGCGAGGGTTGGTACTGCGGTCTGGGTGCCTCATGGCCGGGGAACCCACTGGCAAAATTTTGGCGACGAAGCTTGCTTGGTTGTCGAGTCCAAATACGCGCGCGGACGCACACACACACACACACGCACACACACACACACACACACACACACACACATACACAAACATACACACAAACGCCGGGGTCGTCACAATATGCGTTTTCGCATTTGCATAATAACGACATACGCCTGGCGCTCCAAACTTTCTTGTTTGAGCATTCTGGACGCAAAATGGGTGAATGCGGTAGCACGTGCACAAAGCAGCTGTGCCGCGCAGAAGTGATTCCTTGATTCTCTGGGATAGGCTGTAAACCATCAAAATATCGAATTAGCGCCCTATCTGTTTTCACTTTATAAGGGGGGTTTCAGAAGCGACAGGCATCACCACCAGGTTTCAAAAGTCGATTTCAAGACAGTCAGCCTACACCATGCGATAAATTAAGGCCGCAAAATTTCGATATCATAGGTGTCCAACATGTACCCGATTTTGGACTGAAGTCATGTATCAGAACGAAGTGAGGTTTTAATGTTCATTTTAATCTTTTTTCCACGGTTTGCACAGAATGAACTCAAAAAGTTCAGCTTTTCGCTTGCATCACCCTTTGACCATAATTTTAAAGATTGCACACTGCAAATGGGAATCACATTCCCATTTCTTTTTGTAATTGTTTTTCGATAATTGTAGATTGTTCCTAATTCTCCACCCTCCCAAATGCCGTAAAAATTCAAATTCTCAGGTCAAGGCATCGTAAAAGTTTGCCGTCACCCTCCTTGCTTATTACCGATGACCCTAACCCTAAAATCCCAATTTACCCTCAAATAACCTAATAATCTTTGTCCTCCCTACTTCGATGACCCCGAATCCCTTCCAAAAAGTAACTTGTCAACAAATTGGGTCCCTCCCTTAAAAAGGAGGGCCAATAAGCGGGTCGTAACCGGCACCACCC